TGGTTCCGAAGGAAGTGGGTTGGATACAAGGTAACCTGGACATCGGGGCACGCGCTGGGAATCTGGACATGGTCGAAGCGACGCAACCATAACGATGCGACTCGCGCGCTTTTCTTTCGCAGCTGGCAAGTCGGCGACCGAACCCCAACTGGCCGCCCGATGTCTCTGTTGACGGGCACCCCTTGCCCCAGGCGCCACTGCCGCGCCACGCGACAAAGGCGGGGCGCCCTCATCTCAAATCTGGAATCGCAAGACTGGCGACAGCACGCTCGACCCAACGGGCAACGCCGCCTGCGAAGACTGAAAGGCGCCACGGCACGCGTTGACCGGCGAGCCCCCGCGGCCCCCGAGCAACAGTCTGACCTGAGCGCGCCGCCGCGCGCCCCCCCCACCACTCACGCTGAAGTCAGAGGCCCAAACATCGCCTCGGATTCGTCTTCGGCGCGCGGGCGCTTCTCTGGCGGCGCGGCCGATGACCCCGACGACTCCGCGGAAGGCGGGCGTTTGCTGGCCTGGAAGGGGTCCTGCTTTTCGACATATGGCTTCACGTTGGTTCTGGGGAACTTCTTCGGCTCTTCGGACTTCGCAGGGCCCTCCAGGATCTGAACCTTATACCTCGAGGAGAGGAACTCCGTGATCCTGCCCATCTTCTTGTCGTAGAGGTGCTTGTCACGGCCGAACTGGGTGAGCACCAAGTCGCCGACCTTCAAGGGGCCCTGCGGCGCGGCTGCGCCGACCGGCTCGCTAGCCGGGGAGCTGCCGCGGCCTGCTCCAGGCCTGCTGGGGCGTCGCCTGCCTCGTCCGCTCCGCTGGGCACCGCAGCCTGCGCGGCCTGCTGTCCGTCAGCGCCCCCCTCGGCAGCCGCGCCGCTGGCGGGCTCTGCGGCGCCAGGTTCGAGACCCTCGTCCGCCTTGGCAGCCGCAGCTGGGGCCTGCGCCTCTGCGGCCCCCATCGGCAGCCGCGCCGCTGGCGGGCTCCGCGGCGCTCTGGGGCTCGAGCCCCTCGTCCGCCTTGGCAGCCGCAGCTGGAGCCAACGCCTCCGCGGCCTGCCCAGCTGCAGCGCCTGGCGCGCCAGCGGGGGCGAGCTTGGCTGGCGCCCCGCCCAGCGAGCTGGCGCCGCCTTTGCCCGCGGGCGCAGTCACGGCGGACTTCGCAGTCGGCGTCGCGGCATCTGTTTTGGCCTTCTTGGCGGCGGGGTCGCGGGCGGCGTCGTCGGCGCCGCCCGCGTCCTTGCCGACGGCGGCGACGGCCTCGATCCCCGCGCACTTCTGCGCCAAGGTGGCCCCCAATCGCGCGCCCTTGCTCTGGTATTGGCGAGCCATGGCGCCGAGGCTGCGGACGTCGGAATCACCCCGCCCTGCAGTCTTGAACGAGTCAGGGAACTCGTCTGGCACCCCCGACAAGGCCGCCCCCAAGCGGATTGCGCATCTCCGCCCACATGCGGCCCACGCGCGCATCTTCCAAGTTGCCCTCGCGGGGCGTCGAACGGCGCATCCGCCGCCTCCGACGCCGCGTCTGGCGCGAGCCCCGACTCGGAGATTTCAATGTTTCACTGCGAGCGAAAGGCTCAAACCAGAACTCGGCGCCTGAGGTTCTGGATTGGATGTGCCGCCCCCCTTGCCTGGATCTTTCGATAATCCTTCAGCGGGTCCTTGCGCGCTTTGTTGGGGATGAGATCGATCAGCTCGGCGTGGTCGCGGAAGAACTCGGCCGCCTTCGTGATGGTGCCCAGCGCGGCGCTCTTCATCTGCGCGGCATCCCCGACGAGCGGCCCGACGCAGCACCACGGGCGGCCAGGCTCCCAGTCGGACAGCAGCGCGACGCGCGAGAAGTCCTCGGCGATCCACGCCAGGCGCGCCTTGTCGTCTGCATGGCCGCGGAAGGACTCCACGGCAAACTCGAGATGGCCCCTCGCGCCCTCGTCATCCTCTGGCGTCTCTCCCAGCAGTGCCTGAAGCGCGGAGATGTCCTTCCCCGCCAGCGGTTTACCGCCCCTCAGCGTGCGCTCACACGTCGCCACCCTGCCGTGCGCGTTGCAAGCGCGGTACATCTGCGACAGGAAGAGCGCGGAGCGATACTGAAGCTTCCCCAGCTGCTTCACCGAGTCAAGGTCGACGACGCCCTGCGCTTCCTTCATGGCCATGTCCATTATGACCTGGAGCAGAGGCGGGACCAAATACCCGAAGTCTTTGACGCGGTCTTGGACGTTCTCGGCGAAACCCCGGACTGGCACCCACTCCTTCTCCTGCAACAGCCAGGTCACAATGTCGGGGAGGAACCTGCTGCAGGACGGACCCAGGCTGGCGGTGAATTCCTGCTCCGACACCCCCCCGCGAGTCTTCTTCAACCGAGAAACATGGTCCAGGAACTGGTCTACCCAGAAGTCCATGTACTCTGGGGAGAGCTTCGTCGACGGCGAGAAGAGACGGCGGCTCTGCACGGCACCCTTCGCCTCGTTCAGCATCTCCTGGACTGCCGCGTCCTCCTCTTCCTGCGCGGCGAGATCCGCCGAAGGCGCGGGGCTGCGCGCCACGGCGGCGGCCGCGATGGCGTCCAACTTGGGAGGCGTGACATCCTCGTCTGCCAGGGTGGCGGTGGTCTTGCCATCTGGCGTGTCCCGCGTCCATGATCGCCAACGCTCCTGACGGCGCGGCTCCTGCGATCGCCGCGTCCAGTCGCGGCATGCCTCCCTTCGGAGGCTTCCACGACCTCTTCAGGTTCAGCTCCGCCTCCTCTACCACGGGCTCCAGGTCGAATTTGGGGAAGCTGCCGCTGACCACCCACATATCCTTCGGAAGGGAAAGCATAATGCAATTCAAGCATCAAACCAGAACCTACCAGTGCGGGTTCTGGTTTCAGATGTGTAGCTCGGTCCCCATATGGCCCCTGCTTAACAAGGTTTCGGGAGCGATGTCCTCGGGAACGATCTCCTTCGGAAACTTCATCACGTCGCTTGGGACGACGAGAAACTGCAACGCCACAGCGCCGTGCTTTTTCTTCATGTCGGCAGGCAGGTCCGGCTTCACCGCTTTCGGCACGAGGTAGAAAATGCTCTTACGAGATACACTGATTTCCACCTTGTGCCTCCAAGTTTCCACGAGCTTCTTGTTAATGCGGCCCTCTCCTGTGTTCTGCGGGTCCTTCAGGCTCCTGAGACCGACATACAGCTTCACCATCTCCTCGTGCTTCTCGTCCGCGCCCATGCCGAACCCCGCGAACGCGGAGACTGCCTGGCTGCGCTGGGCGGCCGTTATCTCCAAACCCTCCAGAGCATCCTGCACTTGCTCTGGCGTGGGGTTCTTCACAGCCAGCCGCTTCGAGGTCGCCTTCTTCGTGGCCATCTGCGGCAAGGCTCTTCGGGGGTCCCTTCGATGGCCGGTGCCTTTCTAGAAAAGGCTCGGCTAGCCTTGAGCCACCAGCGTGCTGGCGAAGAGTGTGTGAGGAGGCTTCGGGGTGAAAGAGCTGAGCGCTACCTCAGTATTGAGGCGTTCTCGCCTGCTTGAATTTCTGACGTGGCTTCCAAGAAAGCCCACCTGACAATCCAAGAGGCCTCGACGAGACGCCCACGACGCCCAACACGACACCGACACGCCCAGGACGGCACCAAACGAAAACCCCGCTGGCTCAAAGATGTTTGCAAGACGGCCCACGACGGCCCGAGCAGCATGGGAGGCCCTGGACCCACCAGGGGGACGGGGGTCAGGCGGATGGGCCGAAGGCCTGTCAGAATATAGTTGAACCCATTGGGCCCTGGGAGGCCCTTGACCCACCAGGGGGGCGGGGGTCAGGCGGAGAGGCCGAAGGCCTGTCAGAATATAGTTGAACCCATTGGGCCCTGGGAGGCCCTGGACCCACCAGGGGGGCGGGGGTCAGGCGGAGAGGCCGAAGGCCTGTCAGAATATAGTTGGACCCATTGGGCCTTGGGAGGCCCTGGACCCACCAGGGGGGCGGGGGTCAGGCGGATGGGCCGAAGGCCTGTCAGAATATAGTTGAACCCCTTGGGCCCTGGGAGGCCCTGGCCTGAAGGCGGAGGAGGAGGAGAATGACGATGATGATGAGGAAGAGAAAGGGGAGAAGGAGGAGGAGGGGGATGAGGAAGAGAAATAACAGGAGGATCAGGAAGAGGATGAGGAGGAGAAGAATGATGATGAGGACGAGGAGGAGGCCGATGAGGACGAGGAGGGTGAGGAGGGGGAGGGAGATGAGGAGTGGGATGAGGAGGATGGATGACGGATGGAGTGTGAGAAGGGAGAAATCATGGATGATGAGGATGAAGATGAGGATGAGGAGGATGAGGATGAGAAGGAGGGAAGGAGCATGGAGGAAAGAGGGATGATGATGAGGATGAGGATGAGGAGGAGGATGAGGAGGGTGATGAGGAAGAGGAGGGGGGAAGACGAGGATGAGGAGGAAGAGGGGGATGATGATGGTGATGATGGTGATGATGGTGATGATGGTGATGATGGTGATGATGGTGATTGTGATTAGAATGATGATGGGGATGAGGATAAAGCGGATGGAAGATAAGGAGGATGAGGAAAAAGAGGATGATGAAGAGGAGGAAGAGGATGAGGGGGATGATGATGATGCTGATGCTGATGATGCTGCTGCTGCTGCTGCTGCTGATGATGATGATGATGATGATGATGATGATGATGATGATGATGATGATGATGATGATGATGATGATGATGATGATGATGATGATCAGGAAGAGGAGGAGGAGGACGAGGAGGACGAGGAGGAGGAGGAGGAGGAGGAGGGATGGGGGGGTGGGAAGGAGGATGAGGAGGAGGAGGAACATGAGGCGGAGGAGGACGAGGGGTAGCGGGATGATGAGGAGGATAATGGGGATAAGGTTGAGGAGGAAGAGGACGAGGAAGGATGGGGTGAGGGAGTGAGGGAGGGCGGAGGGAGTAGGATGAGGAGGAGGAGGATGAGGATGGGGGTGAGGCGGAGGAGAGGGAGGAGGAGGATGCGAAGGAGGATGAGGAGTGCTCCTCCCAACCGTCATCAGCATGATCTCATATTCATCATAATCACCAGCATCATCCTCACCCTCCTCGTCATCCGCCTCCTCCTCACCCTCCTCGTCATCCTCCACTTCCTCTCCCCCTCATCCTCATCCTCGACCTCATCCTCCTCATGCTCCTCCTCCTCCTCCTCATATTCGTCGTCCTCCTCCTCCTCCTCCTCCTCATATTCGTCGTCCTCCTCCTCCTACTTCTCCTCCTCCTCCTCCTCATCCTCATCCTCCTCCTCCTCCTCCCCCTCGTCCTCCTCCTCCTCGTCATTCACATCTTCCTCCTCAATATTCGCTTCCTCCGCCTTCTCCTCCTCCTCCTCCTCCTCCTCCTCCTCCTCCCCCTCCTCATCCTCTACCATCCTCATCCTCCGTTGTGTTTGAAAGATGTTTGCGTTTTCGCCTCGTCGGCTTTCCGATGCTCCAAAACGGCCCAGTTCCAAGACGATCCAAGAGAAACCCAAAACGGCCCAAGGGGTGCCCAAACGGCCCCAAAGTGCTCCAAGACAGACCTCAGAAGGGAGCCCCAACAGGCGCCAAGCAAGTCCCTAGAGGCCGGGGGGGCAGCGCCAGACCCCCCGCCCCCGACGGGATGTTTGGGAAAAGTGCCGGCAGCGCAGCTGTGTTATATACAAGGTGGTTGGGATGGCGGCCCCGCCTCTTCCCGGCCTATCTTGCCCCCCCCTCCCCGAAGGGAACAGAGGAGCACGCGCGACGGAGACAGAGTCCCGCCCAGGTGGGCCGAGGAGGGGGCGAGGTCGACTCCCAACTCTTTTTGCTCTCTCTTCTCGTTGGCCGGGGTGGCAACCCGAGCCGTGCCCAAGCAAACCTGACCCTCCTTCCTCCCCGAAGAGAGCAAAGGAAGGCACAGCGCGGAAACGAAGTCCTGCCCAGGCATGCCAAGAGAAAACCCGAGCCCCCCCCCGACTCTGTTTGCTTTCTCTGCATTCAGTCCGCATCATGGCTTAACGAAGCAAGGATGTTGAGGACGACGACAACGACTTCTGAAACCCTCACCCCCTCTTACTGCTCCTCCTCCCCAGCCTCCCCTTCCTCCCCCTCCCCCTTCCCCCCCCCTCGTTGGGAGTGGCCCATTGGAGACCCAAGATGGCCCGAGAGAGCTCCAGGAAAAGGTTCAATACAGGCCCAAAAGAGGCCCGAAAGGCCAACTGCTGGCCTTCTGGTCCTTTCGCTGTCGATGCACCTTCGAGGCCTCAGAAAGCCTGCGAAGGGCCTCTAAGAGTCTGGTAAGGGCCTTCTCAGAGCCTGGTAAGTGTCTTCGAAGAGCCAGGCAGGGCCCCCAAATCCCCACGCCACGGGCCCAAGTCCAAACCAGAACTCGGATATGAAAGTTCTAGTTTGGACTTGGGGATGCCTCAGCGTGCCGCCCACATGGCCCAAGAGGGCCCCAAACGAGCCATGGAACGGAGCGAAGCGCTTATGCATGTCTGTAGCAAGCCCTGCGCGCGCTCCGAAAGGGCCCCGAACAATCCTTGGAAGGCCCTTACCAGCCGTTTCTCACGCCCTAACAACCCTTAGCGCCCCTTAGCGCCCCTTAACGTGCCTTGACGGCCTCTCTCAGCCCTGCTAAGGCGTGCTAAGCCTTGCTAAGGCGTGTTAAGCCTTGCTAAGGCGTGTTAAGCCTTGCTAAGGCCTGCTCAGGGCCTTCTGAGAGCCTGATACGGGCCTTCTCAGAGCCCGGTAAGTGCCTTCGAAGAGCAAGGCAGGGCCCCCAAATCCCCACGCCACGGGCCCAAGTCCAAACCAGAACTCGGATATGGAAGTTCTAGTTTGGATTTGGGGATTGCGCGAGAACCGCTGTCTGTTTTGCTGGCGCCAAGCGCGCTGCTGGAGTGGCGTACATGCATCGAGCTGCGTCGTTGCGAGAAGACCGTGCGCCACCACGCGTCTCCTGATGCGGTGCAAAAATGTTGGGCCCCAACGCAAGCGAATTCAGGCGAGCTCACGATTTGAAACGATCAAGGGCGGCAGAAACGATGCGCCACTCCAAAGTTTGGCTTTTCTTCGCATATACGAGGAACTCAACCAATTGGACAAATTTACACACGGCGAATTGGTAATGATAGAAATTCCAATCGATCTCAAACCACGGAATGTGTTTCTGGGCCTCCGCGAGGTGCGCCGACACGTCTTCAAAATGCTTCACTATGTCGACCCCCATGGCTGCTAACCACTTGCTGTATTTCTTTGGGTTGGGACCGAGAATTGACGTCATAGAATCTCCGCTGCCAGAATCGGCGGGGATGTCCAAGGCTGCCGCCAACCATAACGAAACGTGTTTCGACCGAAATTCGGCGAGGTCGCTCACCTTCGCAACCATTGCGAACAGCGCGGACGTGGACGCCGCCTCGGTGAAGGAAGTTTCGGTGTACATGGCGATCATGTCGTACACTGGCGCAGTAATGCGGCTCCAATTCCCCTGGCTCAAAGCCCTCAATCGGGTGGTCTCGTTGGTTTTGCCGTCAGCTAAAAAAAACGTGGCCGAACAACGATGTATCGCAATTTGTCGAAATGCTGGAAGGACCAATCGTAACAAGCCAGCCATGCGTGAAACGGGGGGCCCGGGGTGTCCATCTGCCCCTCGAACCATTCAACAAACGTCATCTCTCGGCCCAGAGCGACGATGAGCATTATCATAAGCCCTGCGCCACGGCAGAACTTCCGAAGTTTAGAACAGAAACGCACGAACGCCTTCACCGGTGGATCGTCCGTATACACTATATTGTGAATCTGGAACAGGTTCAGGAAGGTATAGACACTGAGTTGGGCGTCGTGCTTCTCAAGGGCGTCGTTCACAACGCTGCCTTTTTCCCAGCTCCCGAAGGATCCAAGATGCCAAAGGCACTGGGTGAGCAATAATGACTGGCCATCTGGAGCCAGGCGGGAAACTGATGTCACCCCCCGCCTTTTTGCACTTGAGGCGCCTAACCCTTTCGATGACAAACGCCGCCACCAACGCCGCCAACCCGCAAGAAAAGCAAAACTGCAAGAACGTAAGTGGATTGTGCGGCGCCCCGTTGTACAAGTGTTCCTTGAGTTGGCGGATTCCCTGCCGAACTGGGACGTAGCTGTCCTTTTTGGACCCCTTCATCTTGGTTTCAAGCGCCTCCAGGTCTTTACATTCTTGGACGAGGTCGTCAAAAACACGCTTGCGCACCATACCGTAAGTAAAAGGGCTGGTAGTACCAGCGCTTGAGCCCAACTGGCTTGGAGAAGGGAGGGACGGATGCTGGTGATTACGTTTGTGTTCGCATTGGTGTTGGTGCTGATCCTGGTGATGACTCCTCTGCTAAAGCTGGTGCTGGTGTAAGGGCTATGCCCGTCGCTAATACAGACGCAGATGCTTGCGATGGTGCTGGTGGCATTGGTGTCCCGAAAAGATACGATGAATAGACGAATACACGAAGGAGGAAAATTATCGAGGAGGGGGGAGGAGGGGGAGGAGGAGGAGGAGGAGGAGGAGGAGGAGGAGGAGGAGGAGGAGAAGGAGGAGGAGAAGGAGGAAAAGGGAGGAGGAGGTGGAGGAGGACGAGGAGGACGAAGAGGTGGAGGAAGAGGAGGGGGAAGACTAGGAGGCGGAGGAGGGGGATGGGGAGGACGAGGAAAGGGGGGGAGGGGGAGACGAAGGAGGGGGAATGGGAGGAGGACGGCTCATGGCCTCATGGTCTCATGGCCCAGTTGGTGACAGACTTTCGGCCCAACCGTCTGACCCCACCCTCTCTCCCTCTTCCCCCTTGTGGGTCCAGGGCCTCCCAGGGCCCAGCGGGTTCAATATATATATATATATATATATATATATATATATATATATGTATTCTGACAGGCCTTGGGCCCATCCGCCTGACCCCCGCCCCCCAGGTGGGTCCAGGGCCTCCCGGGGCCCAATGGGTTCAACTACATTCTGAAAGGCCTTCGGCCTCTCCGCCTGACCCCCGCCCCCCAGGTGGGTCCAGGGCCTCCCAGGGCCCAATGGGTTCAACTATATTCTGACAGGCCTTGGGCCTCTCCGCCTGGCCCCCGCCCCCCTGGTGGGTCCAGGGCCTCCCAGGGTCCAGCGGGTTCAAGTATATATTCTGACAGGCCTTCGGCCCATCCGCCTGGCCCCCGCCCCCCAGGTGGGTCCAGGGCCTCCCAGGGCCCAATGGGTGCAACTATATTCTGACAGGCCTTCGGCCTCTCCGCCCGGCCCACGCCCTGGTGGTCCAGGGCCTCCCAGGGCCCAGCGGGTTCAAGTATATATTCTGACAGGCCTTCGGCCCATCCGCCTGGCCCCCGCCCCCCAGGTGGGTCCGGGGCCTCCCAGGGCCTAATGGGTTCACCCAGAGTCTGACAGACCAGAAGGGGTCGAAAACAGATTTGTTCGACCACGTCGTAAACGTGGTTGCGCGCTTTTGCTGCTCGGGCCGTCGTGGGTCGTCTTGCAAGCATCTTGGAGCCAGTGGGGTTTTCGTCTGGTGCATCCTGTGCGTGTCGGTGCCGCGCTGGGCGTCGTCACCAGCACCATCATTATCATCATCAGCATCGTCCTCCTCTCCCTCGTTCCCCTTCCTTCCTCGCCTCCCCCTCCCCCCATCCGTCCTCCTCTCTCCTCCGCTTCGTCCTCCTACTTCCCCCCCCTCCTTTTCATTTATCATCCTCCTCGTCATCCTCTTTCGCCCCTTCCCCTTTTCATCCGTCCCTTTCCTTCTCCCCTCCTCCCTTCCTCCTTCTCCCCCTCCTTGTCCTCTGCTACGAATAACGACCTCGGAGCAGCGAGGGTAAGCTTTGATACTGTCGAGGGCAAGCTCAAGCAAACCCAGGACGTGTCTATCATGTTCGCGCCCTCGTGTGCGGCCCTCCAACCAGCCAGCCAACCGACCAACCAATCAGCCAGCTTCCTGTTGAAAACCCACCACGGCGGTATACAAGCAACCACCCAACTTCACCAACCAACCAACCAACCTATTTCACTGCGTCGCAATGACGAAACTTGTTCCACGTGATCATTCGAGCCACGCGTTACGCTGGCGACAATAAGTCAGGCGCCCACCCACGAACCAAATCGTCTGCTAGTGCGTTGCCCGTCGTTGGCGCGGCTGCGGAGCTCATGCGGACCACCTCCGCCCTGGCGTCCTCCCGCTCTTTGGCAAACAAGTGGCGGCGGCATGACCGTTTGTTCACAAATCCGTTATCCGTCACCCTGCCCAGCATCCAGGCCTTCAGGGCGAGGCCTGTGACTGGATGGTGCAGCTTAGCCTCCCCGAAGACCTCGGGCTTGATTGTTTTGGACTTGTCTACGTCGCCCAAGAGTGCCAGCTGGCACCAGTTTGCAATAATCCACACCTTCAGGTTCGGGAAATTGGGATTGTTCACGAATGTGAAATACCCGTTCGTGTGGAAGACGTGCTCGTTCTTCTTAGCACGAGCCAATGCTACGGCGGCCTCGTCGGGGTCGCTATCATCACACTCTGCATCCTCGTCCCCTGGCAGTGGAACGTCACCAGGCGGCTCCGAATCGGAATTCTCGTCGCTGCTGCAAACGGATTCAATGAGGCTGTCGTCGCTATGGAGCGCATCGTCGCCAGATGAGGGGCAGCCCTCCTCTCCGCAGTCTTCCGCTGGTCGCCCTCTTTTCACCTTGGGCTTAACTGCCCGCGCGGCGGTCAGGAGCTCCACCTCGATGCGCATCTCGTCTGAGGCGACGCGTCTCATGGTGCACACATGCAGAGTGAACTCAGCATCGAACTCAAGGCCCGCAGCCCGGAAAGCCGCATCTGACGTGACGAGCTGCTCGCCCAGGCGCCGCTGCACGTGGAAATAGAACCGCCGAGCATGCGCCCCAGTAGGGTCCAACGGGATCAGGTTCACCTCGGCCCCTATGCCAGCCATGAACACAACCAAGTACTGCCCCCCCTGCCCGATGGAGTAGAAGCCCGGCGCGTGGCCCGCCAGCGACGGCAACGCGCCGATGGTCGGGGTCGGAAATGAGCGAGTGGTCACACCCGCCGCAGAATCCCTCGGTGCCAAGCGCTGGGAGTACTTGCGCCTGTCGCGAGTGGCGCCCTGGAGCGCCCGTTTGAAAAACTCGTCGTTGTCGCGCAACCATTGCAACCACCCCTTCAAGCTGCGGGGCGTCGCGATCAGCGCGAGCTTGGCCTTGGACTTCCTGCGGTCGACCTCCGCCTGCAGCTCATCTCGGCGCTCCTCAACGTATGATTTCAAAGCGTCCTCGTCGCCGACGTGAGTGGTCATTTTCGTCTGGTCGTCGGTGACGCCCTCTTCCCACCACGACCGCCCGCGCCCGCGGGAGAAGAGGTCAGGGCGTCTCTGGATCGCAAGGGGGCGCAGGCCGATGTGCCGCGCGCGCTCCTGCTCTCGGCGGCACTTGGCTGCCCGTGCCGAATCCATTCGCTGCCCCCTCGCGCGCTGGCCCAAGGTGCCGTTCCTCGAAGCGCGCGCAACCGATGGCACCTTTCGGCCAGGCTTCTCCGACTGCTTGTCCAAATTGCGTTTCCGCTCGCCGTCCAAGGTGTTCGCGTCCGCGGCCCACAGCAAATCCTCGAACTCGTCTTGCTGGTCTGCGCCCTTCAGGAACTCCAGCGCGTCATTCTCGTTGCCACCGCGCCGCCAAGCTTCCCGCTGCAGCGGCGCGCCATACCCCTCGTCAAGCTCGCCCCCTGGCCTGTTCAGGAAAGCGCGGCCGGCCCGCGAAAAGCCGTCTGGGTTGAAAGCTTTGCGCAAAGTCCACACCTGCGTGGGGAAGGACTGGTAGCGGCGAAACCGAATCACAACGTGGGCTTCCGTCGTGAGCAGGGCAGCGAAAGCATCGATGAAGTCAATGTTCTCATCGTTCGGGAGAAGGCAAACTAGCTTCGCGAAGAGCTCCGCCGACCGCTGGGGAATCTGCCCCTGGCCCAACCGCGCGACCAACGGCAATCTCTCATGGGGGGACTGGCCAGATCCACGTCGGGCCTTTTGCGCCGTGAGGTTAACGACGAGCTGCGATAAGCGTAAGCGCGCCGATACTTTTCGAAGTTCAGCCCGGGTCCCAGGGTCGTCGTAATACTTCGCAACGGCTGCCAGCCGCTTCTGGTTCGCCTCCGCGGGAGCGACCGCCCCGACAGAGAGTATGCCCGCAGGGAGACCCAGCAACTTCATCCTGCACAGCGCCCAAACGCAGTTTGAGAACAACCAAAATCGAGTGACGACTGGGCGCTCCGCGATCTGCAAGACGCACTAGTGCAGCGCGTCGTACAACGCGCGGCAGACGCTGGCCCTGTTCGCCCCTGCCGCGCGCGCGTGCCGCGGGGCCTGAAGTCCGACGTTGTAGAGCGCAAGCATCTCGTCGGGGAAACCTTCCTCACCGTAAAGCTGTTGGAATTTGATTGCCCTCTGGCGGCTGGTGGCCATCTCCTCGGGCACGGGGCCCGTTACTAGCTCCACCAGGTCTAATGCATAGGACCTCAAGGCTGCTGCA